ATTTAGCACAGCATTACTTAACTTTTTTGGTCTATGTAACATAACTACCAAGAGAACGGTGATCTTATCCAAATGTAAATCACTACATTAAGATGAAATATTTGGGAATCACTGTTCAAGAACTCAGTTTACTAGTTACCATAGAATAATGTGCCCTAGTAACCCGTGACTAATTAAATAATAGGGTTTTCAACCTTCATCTAAAGTTAATAAAGTGTAAAATAATGTTAATCCCTACTAATTGAACACAGTAGTCAAGATTTGGATGACTATTTCCAATCAAAGGTTTTGTTTTATAATTTGCACTTATTTTACATTAATCAAGGTAAACTATGTAATATCAGGGTTAAGTACTACCATTTCTATTCTTATGACGTTTTCCTGCTGTGATTGCAAAATGCAGAACCCATAGAAAGTAAGTTAAAAGAGCCCTCTTGAGGCAGATGGTGTGCTTGATAATGCGATAACATTTCGCCAAATCTCCTGAATATGATTTTCTTGAGTTTAAGTTAATGGAACTAGGTATTAGGCTAATCCATTCTTATTCCAATGATTTTCTCCATATTGTTAAGGATGACACGATAAACATGCATAGGTGTTCAGTTTCTAACGATACGGAATGTTTACGCCACGTACTAAATTAGCTATAAACACAGTATTGGGTGGGCTTTTTGCTTTAACCTGGGTATTAAAAAAACAAGATAATGCTGTTCATAAATCCCTTATCATATAAGTTCCAACTATGGCAATATAACTAGCCGAAATGTCTCTGAATGATTGGGTGGTGCAAATTATGTAACAACGCAATTCACGTCAAATGGATAATTATGTAATGGATATTGAATGAGATAGAAAATTTTCCATTCAAAAATTTACATTTGAATTAATTTTATTCTTAATAATTTACAACTTTCGTTCAATTGTTAGAATGCACCAAATTGCGGGTCATTGGTTGGATTAGTTTGAATTAATGCCCGTTGTTAGGGCAATTGCGTGTTATTAATGCTTTTTCATTTTTGCAGACTACTTCTGGCATTTTATACAATTCCAAAGGTTGCAGTAGTTCCTCAACAATCAGCATTGACTTCATAATGTCTTAAGGCGTTAAACTATCTACATGCTGAGTTAAAAGCTCTAAGATCAAATGTGAAGTTTCTAAATTGAAAAATTCTTCTTTTTGCTTCAGTGCTCTCTGTTCATTCATTTTATTCGCTTGAATTCTCATCTGCTGGAATTTCCTTTCCTTCAGCAGCTGAAGTTGTTTTACTGAAAACAGTTATGAATTCATTTATGATCATAAATCGTAGCGAAATAAACATAAATATGTATTCATTGTGAATCTTGGTAAATGAGGTTTGAAAATAGAATTCATTGTCTCTTCTAAAAAAAAATTGGTCCTGTGTCTAACAGACCTAATTTGAGACAATGCAACCACGGGGCCTGCAGATCTTTAAACTTCTTCCTGTTCAACGCCGTTTTAATTGAAAGAAGCTTGTGCTCGATCATGTTGAGGACTTGTGAGGTCTTGACGGAACAACTGTTCATGTGCTTTGTTTGCAGTTCTGGTTTTAAAGAGATGCACAGAAAACAAAAGAACTTATTGGTAAAAATAATTGAGGAACCTGCAAGAAAGGGTCAGAGGAAGAGTCAAGACATCAAATCTCATGCGTGTTTCAACCTACACCAGTTCTGTTTCCAGTCCCGAGAGTCTGGTGCAGAGAATGTTGCATCCGCAGAAATTGTGACACATCCATGTCAACCCGTACAATAAAGACTTTCGTCAACTACTTCTGTGTTTTCAAGATGAAAATAGAGAAGACTGACGTCCACAGGTCCCCCGGCACCCCCAATGGTCCACCTAAAACATGGCTAAACCTAGTCAATGACACAATCAGTCAACTTCCCATAAAAAGAAATTTCCTCGACACTAAGCCAACTCAAAAATATGTAAAACCATAGATAAATCGGAATTAGGTACTACTATAATTACACACCTCTCCGTATATAATAAATAATCTCAAGAAAGATAGAGAAATCAGAAATAGTGCTAGTCTTTCAATCCTCAATAGGTGCTTTCTAAGGGCCAGCCAAATTTTCTGGAAAAGTAAGCTGTTGCCTGACCTTTCAGGAGATATGTATCTCAACATCAACTTATGCTTTAGATTTACAACCTTGTCTTCTTGGTACTAACTGGCTATGTCAACTTGGTCTCTTAGATCTGCACCAAATACCATCTAGATTCATGCACCTTCTGCTACATTCACCACTTCATTCAGCAATTCCCAGATGTATTTTAAAGGGGGTCATGATCCATGTGATCACACTCAAGGGGTACTAAAAGTGATCCTGAAAGCGGACAATTCCAAAAACAGCATTGTTATTAACAGTTGAAGAACTCGAAAGTTTTGTACAAAGTGGTATTCTTAAACCATATCTTATGCAAAATCGACTGAGCTTTTGCTATTAGTAGGAAATCACGTGAAACTATTGCGCAGTATGCTGACTTGTCTCCAGGTATAAGTGCCATGTTGAAACTCAATTGTCATCTAGTAACTATTTCTCAGGATATATTCTCAATACACTGCTCTGACAAGTTTAATTTTGAAGAAGTCAATTTGTAAATCATAGTTGTACAATGTCTATTGTCTATAAATAGGCACCGAGGCTATTATTTAAGAACTATATTAAACCTTCCAAAATGGTCACAAACTCAAGATCACAATAAGATACGAAAATACCTTAAAGTTAGGCTTTACTCTAAAATTTTGGTAAGATAACAATTCTGCCATTTAATACACTTAATCAAATATGCGCGTTTTATAAGTTTTCATTTTGTTCATTTAGCTTTTATTTTGGGTAAAGTTACTCCTCTTATTCAACACCAGTATACCGGACTTTCTTTCTAGCCAAGATGACGTAATCAGCCTTCAGCAGAAAACTTCAAGAACGTGTCATCGCTCTAAGTCATTTTGTTCTAGCTAGAAAATATGCATTCTTTGTGCCTCATAAGAAGTACCTAGGATGTACCTTTGATGAAAATGTTCGAGGTTTGGACCTAGAGAAACTTGGGATGGATCATATTGATGGTATTGCCTATGGGCATTTCTACGTTGCTTTTATTCATTGCAACTGGACTCCATGTATTAGAAAACCTTCACAAAGCTGATGCCTTGCTCACTTTTGATATGCTGCCATCCCATTATATTCTGAATTTACAAATAATCTTGGATTCCAAATATCTCGGACTATAGCTTCAACACGCTTAACTCTCATGTCTTCCTTGGCGGCTCAGTAAAAGCTATGACTCATCTTTCTCAAACTTTAATCGAAGCAGAGAAGAACTGAATACAGATTGAAAAGGAGTCTTTGGCCATCATAATCTTTGCTAAAACTTAATAAATTTCTCTAAGGTTGGAAATTTATTCTAATACTGTTCATAAATCCACCACCTCTCTATCTGAGGATGCAAAAAAGAATATTCCTGATTACATATTAGGCCAAATTCTGTGTTTATCGATCACCCTTCTTAGCCTTCTTCCTTTGTTTACTTTCACGTGTTAAGAAAACGTGCGAATGACTCATGAGTAGAAAGTATCATTAAAGCTCGGCGAGGAAGCGTATTATATGAAGTTGAACTCTATGGCCAAACTTGGGTGTCACAGGATTCATCTTCGTTGCCGGTACGTAGTAAAGTCATCGAAACTAAAAAAATGGGTTCTCTGGATGTCATATTGGATGTTTTAGCCCTATCGCCTGTTATAAACAGTGAAAAACTGGAAATGCAAATTAGTTACCGATAAAAGTTTCGTTTCTTGCTTCTCAAAGCAATCCTATGACAGAACTCAGGTCGAACTCTTGTTCAATGTTTTTACGGAAAATTCGCCGGGAGTTGTTGAGTGAAATGTGACGTCTGTGCTTAAAAAATAAAAGAATGGCAGTTTTTATTTTTTATTAAATTAATATTAATTGTTTTTAAATGATACACAATTGATAAAATAAGCCAAAATTCTGGATTGTTGCTTGGCTTAACTTAGCATGAGTCGAGGAGGTCCGTTTAAACCTTGTTTTCATACAAATAAGGGAATCACGACTAATAAAATTATTATTTTTTAAGTTCCAAAAGTAAAATTCAAAATATAAAGAACTAACTTTGTTATTATGCTGGAACGTTGTGAATTAAAGGTCAATAGTTGCGAATAGTTGCCCCACATTAAAAAATATTTATTCAAATTCTAATTAACCAAAGCTCTTGCATGACAGGGGAAACTTGAACAGTTATTCGATCAAAAGAAATGCTTTAATAGTAAATAAGAGTTTGATAATTTTAAGATACTATCATATGCAATCGATTTGATCGTAACTAAAAACTTATAATTAAATTTTAGCACTTTTAAAGGTTGACGCTGAAGACTGTTGAGAACGAACGAGACTGCATAGAGTTCAAAATGCTTGCGAATTGCTCCATAATTGGTTTCATGCATATTATTGAAGTTCCACCTGACTGCAATTTACAAGTTTACGGATCAGGTAATGGCATTAAAAAATTTATTTTTTTATCTGTGTTTAATTAACCAAAGAAGTGTTATAAAGCCAAATCCATTAATTACCGAATCATTAAGCTTTATCATAGCAGCCTGTGTCTTAATAAATAAATTAACCTATTCTATGTATGTATTATCTAGTTTTCATTAAAAATCTAGCTTAGTGTGGTTTAAAGTAAACTTTTAAACGGAATTCTTTAAAATTGTATCCATAATTGTCCCCCTCATCATTAGATGTTTAATAGAAATGTTTAATACTCTAAAAGAAATTCTTAAAAACTATATAACACTTAAATAAATTAAATTAAATTAAAATATCCTAAATTCGCGTCTATAATGACAAATAATTATTTGAAAGCAAAAATGTCTTGTTTTAAAACGCATTGTCTGACAGTGAGCACTTTAATATTTTTGCTGTCGCCATATTGGGTTCGGTTCGGCAATTTTTAATCAGAGAAAATGGCAAGCGACGATAAAATGAATATAGATAGCATAATTGCGCGCCTTTTAGAAGGTTAATTTCATTAATATAATATTTTATAGATCTTATTTTAATGATTAAACACAAACATATATTCTTTCAGTTCGGCGCATCAGACCCGGTCGAAATGTTCAATTAAACGAATCAGAAATCCGTGGACTCTGCCTTAAATCACGGGAAATATTCTTAAGCCAGCCAATACTTCTCGAGCTTGAAGCACCTCTTAAAATTTGTGGAGACATTCATGGACAATACTATGATTTATTGCGACTCTTCGAGTACGGAGCTTTCCCTCCAGAAGCCAACTACCTCTTTCTTGGTGATTACGTTGATCGTGGAAAGCAATCGCTTGAGACCATTTGTTTGCTTCTCGCTTATAAAATCAAATATCCTGAAAATTTCTTCTTGCTTCGAGGCAATCATGAATGTGCTTCTATCAACAGAATTTACGGATTTTATGATGAATGTAAGTTTGTAACTCTATTCATACTTGTCCAATAAAGGCAATATATATGCTTTACGAGTTTGCCAATTGCCTTTGCCAACATTTCATTTATAAGCCTATTTTTACTGAAAATGTAACTCATTTTCTAATGATGTAATTCGCTAAAGTTTTGTAGTGGTACATTGGGATTGTGATGTTTTGAATTTTGATAACTCCAAAATCAAAAATCATTATGTAACCGAATAAGCAAGTGTTGTTTGTATTCGCCAACTTTATTTGCGATCGCACTAAGTTTCTATGCCCCCCCCTCCCCCATACCATAAGTACCATGTAAATTCACAATTTCGCCAATTTATGTGGTTTGTAATCAATCCGATTTTTCGTGTTTTATTACAGGCAAACGCCGTTACAATATCAAACTTTGGAAGACCTTCACTGATTGTTTCAACTGCCTCCCAATCGTTGCAATCATTGATGAGAAAATCTTTTGTTGCCATGGCGGTAGGATATTTATAATTTACCCTATTTTGACCCAGTTGTCCATTAAGTATTCATATTTAAAAAGTACTACGTACGTACTTATTTGCTACCTTCCTAACCTCTTGTGATTAATCAATTCTGTGTTTAAAGGGAAATAATGCTTGTTTCTTGTATGAAGGTGATGTAATTTATATTTGCAGTCGTGCCATTAAAATGATTATTTTGTTAAATTACATTGCCCTGATTTTTTCAGCTTTCATATCGTTTTGCGTAAAATTTTTTTGGAGTGAAAATTCCCTTTTTGCGTTTTGTTAAGAAATCTTCGAGAAAAATTCGAACTAATCCATTTTTCAATAATGAATAATTTTTTTTATGTTTAGGGATGCATGCTTTCGCTGGTTACAGTTAAGGTCATTTGGGGAATAAATTTCACTTTATGCTTAAGTATTTAGTAATGAATTTCCCTATTCGATGAATATAGCGCTTAGATACTCAATTATGCGCTATGTAGTTCCAGTTCTTTTTAATTAAGGTATGGGCATTTAGGTTGTTCCTTCAACTCATGTTTAAAATAGCTGTCTTTGATGATCACCTATTAAGACTCTCAATGGTTTATTCTGCCGGTTCTAATTCCATGTGATTGTTTATTTTTATGTACCTTTGTCGTTCATTGTTCATATCATGAAATTATGCACGTGAAGATTTCCCTACTTAGGCAAGTAGATAGTTATACCTATGGGTCAAAATGTTGCACTAAGTTGAGACTACTTTTTATATCTGGTCTAAGTCAATTACGTACATTTTAAGCAAGTCGAGATTTTTACGCAATTACACCTTGCAGGAAATTAACGTTCATTTTCTCTACTTGGTGTTTTTGGAAACGATTGTTCGTGTTCTAAAATAATAAATTTTAGGGCGTTTTTTGCTCCATCTCCCTCCTAAGCTAATAATGACTTGCACTAGACGAGATTTTCAGATTCGTCGTTAGTTCAACTCGAATTGAACTCAAATCGTTTATGGTTGATAAGATAAAATACTTTTATAATGACTAGATCTGATGTAAGTGAACGTTTCTTTGGTTCAGTTTACTTTATTGCTCTAATACCTTATTTAATAGGTATTAATTTTAAACCTGATCCCCATAAATCATTTGTTACCAATCTACTTATAATACAAATTTCTCTAGCCTAATGATTTCATAACAAGCTCTATGTTTAATCGTTTGAACATTAAATCGAGTTAGTAATAGGCTTAATCTGTCCTTCTAATTGGAACGAAATATTGTTTTCCACTTGACAAATTTTCGAGTCGTAATGAATAAAAGTCAAGTCTTGTAATACTAAGTATTGCTATCGCAACAATTTTCATCAATTTTTTTCCCTTTATCAGGACTCTCACCAGATTTACTAAACATGGAACAGATTCGGCGCATCATGCGTCCAACAGACGTTCCTGAACAGGGTCTACTCTGCGATTTGCTTTGGTCCGATCCCGATAAGGATGTCTCCGGTTGGGGCGAGAATGATCGCGGCGTCAGTTACACATTCGGCACGGATATGGTAGCCAAATTCCTCCAGAAACACGACCTTGATCTTATCTGCAGGGCGCACCAGGTGGTTGAGGATGGTTATGAGTTCTTTGCCAAGCGACAGCTAGTTACCCTCTTCTCCGCGCCCAATTACTGTGGTGAATTCGATAATGCTGGAGCTATGATGTCTGTAGACGAAACGCTCCTCTGCTCTTTCCAGGTTAGTTAATTGAAAGAAATCGGGTTTGTACAATTTGGTTGCATCTCTCTTATCTCTTTGCGTTCACATCCAATTTACAATGTTTGTGACGATCAGATCAGTGCCCAATTGAGTCCAAGAACTAAGGGATATGTCTACATTGAGTTCCCAACTTGAGTTTTATATAGTGTTGTCAATGGGATCATCTATTATACAGATGCTGATTATCATATGTATTACTACTTTGCACTGATATTTCACGAGATTCGGTTTTGTAGTATTTGGTCTAGTATTCAAGTACAATTGGAGGGGGAGGGGAATGGTCCTTTTTGTTAGATCATGTCGATGCTGGATAATGGAAGTCGTTCAAATACCGAATAAGGATGGTAATTTGGAATACTTTCATGTAATGAGATTCAACAAGTTTGGATACGTAATTTTGATACTTTGAACCACTTATATCTGCATATGTAAAGCGTGGTTCTTAAGCAAGCTCTGTTCTAAAATTCTGTTTGCCATGTCTAGCCCGTATTAGCTACTTCTTTTCAGAATATACATATATTAGTGTTGTGGCTGGAAAACAGGAATATCTATCTTTTTATTTTGACTGAGTACAACCTCATAATGATTCATTGGTAATTGGAAAAGAATAGTTTAAAAACCTCCAGTATTTTCAATTTTGAACGAAACGCTACTTAGGCGCTATCCTTTTTTTTGCTTTAAGCCGCGTGTGACTTCATACTTGACTATGTAATCACAAGTATTTAATGAATACTTCCATTTTTTCTCTCTTCTATTTGGGTGCACAACATTGGCATTGTCGAAGCACATTCAAATAGGAAGCCGTCATTCTCTATTATGTGTATGTGTTAAACACTTCCCAGTTGTGTTTACTCAACATAATGATAATCCTCCATGTGTTAAAAAACCATGAACTGACGTACGCGCGACTTATACTAGCAAGTTTCTTGGCGTAAGTACTCACTATTTAGTTCAAATGAGAGGAAATGGGATTAGGGTTTTTATATGCACTTTTATAAGTGGAATTCGCACGTGGTTTTCCAAATTTGACTTTGGATGTGGTGACGAAGTTTTCTTCCAATGGAAGCCGTTTCATTCAATTTTTTGTAGTCGATTTCCTCTTTTCGTCTCTGAAGTTGTATCTATTTTGCCGGTTTTTATTTAAATTTTTCTCTTAAAGAAATGCAGTTTCTCATCACCTTTTATTTGGATATGAAAATTTTTACGAGTAGCGTTTTCCATATTTGGTCATCTTTCAATGCAAGATTTTAAGGCAATTTCTTAAACCGTCAGAGAGGGAGGGAGAGAGTCTTTTTCCTCCAATTTTCCTTTTGACCCTACTCGCAACATTACCGAGCGTGTTTGATGGAAAACTCCTGTTTTCCTCTCTCTCAAGTATTGATCAATCCCTTTTGCTGCACTGTTCATTAGATGTGCTTTGACGAGTATTGAAGTCGTGGAATCTTCGATTGATGCTTTTCAAGCACAAGAGGAAAGTTCATTGAATTTTATCATTAACATGTTGAGAACGACGAATAGAGGTGTGATGTCTCTGTTCGGCTTTCTACAGGAGATTTCAATTAACTAGCACTTGGATACTTGCTTACGCATGTTAGTAATCAATATCTCATTTAAAATTTAAGGTTTTCCTTTGAAGATGGGACGTATTATTGAGCGGTTTTACCCTACTTAGCTCAAATTCAAGAATTCCTTTTCTTCATGTTCCTTTCATTTCGGTTTCTTATTTCTCACATTTGCCATTGGATAATAATGTCTTTTTTCAACTATACTTTTTCCTCTCATTTTCACGAACGGAGACGATTTTTTGATGGGTACATTTTCTTAATTACTGCATTGTACTATTTAAACATTTTTGGTTGTTTCAAATCATGTTCTATCCTATAGTTGTATTTAATCGGTAACTAAATGCAATTTTAGTTTATGCTATCAATTCCCCTAACACTTTTAATTCAGTTACATGCTTTAGTCACGATGGTATCATATTTTTTATAATTGTATCCAGGTATTAGTGATTTGAGCAACAAGGTTAGAGGGATTAAATGTGACAATAACAGGGCCCTTACAATCCGAAGTCACGCGACCCTTAAACAAGCAAATTTGCTATTTAGCGGTCAGACCAGCGAAGACTTGCCAAGTCTCGCATTCGAAAGCGCTCGCATTTGCTGTGGTAGTGGTGGTAGTAGTAGCAGCCGGAATTACTGAGCGAGTGGGAGGGTTACGTGGGCTGTGTATGGTCTCCACCACTGCTGCTATTGCGCACGGCCCGTACACTAAACTGCTATTTGCCAACGCATGCAGCGTACTGCCCGTTTGCTATATGCGTGCATCCAGATTTTCTTTGCGCGTGTTTTTATGCTGTGCTGTTCTGCAACCTAATCATCGATCCCTTGTGTGTTCCTCCACCACCTTATGTGCTATGTGCACAAATACACAACAGCACACTCGCTCTCTATCTCTCTCGGTGTGCATGTGCTAGTGTGTGTTGGCTCCCTTCTAGTTTGTAAGCACCGACCTAAATTATCATTTATTTGTGTATAGTTGTGGTAGTTATTCTTTCTATTGCTGTTGATGCTATAGGATTCACATTCTTCTGTGTGCTTTGCAAGGTGTCACTAACCTATCTAAACTTGACTGCGCTGTGACAAAGTGGGAAGAACTGTTATTTTTTCTATAATTTCTTTGCAATTGTCACACACACACGCACACACACACACACACACACACGAATGTCAATGTACTGCACTAAAGGAATTTCATATGGAGGTGAAAATTCCAGGTCCTTTTTTTCTTTGACTCAAATTAATTAATGCTACTTCTTTTCGTTTTCAGTACACTCTTCGGTTATCTTAAGAAGTTAATAGAGTTTCGTTTTCTTGAAATCTTTTTTCGTAGGAGTTATTACTTCATGAAGGCTTTCAATAATGTGGAATCTTGTGTCTATTTTTACTATCGATAAAGGCATGGCATTTAAGATAGTACTTCTTGTTGGTCTAATTTCTAAGTGTCTTTTTGTCTAAAGGCTTAAACAATTTATCATTGTTCGTCGAAGATTGCCAAGATAATTCTGTCGTTTAAGATTTCGATACATATGTATGTATATATTTGTTATAATCATTGTTTTACCATCTTGGTGATTAACATCAATTAAATCTCTTATGTTAGTACTGAACCATGTCTGGTTCAATTGAATTAGTTTGCTTTTGGCTTGCTTTAAAATTTTTACTGTTTTGCGTTTGTAAACTAGAAATCGGTTGGGTCCTTCAGAACTTTACACTTTTCAACCACTTAAGTGAGCCAAATCTGCTTTGTTTAAAATTAATGTTTCTGACAGCACTTATTTTTGTACTTATGATACTTTCAATGCTCAAAGTAGTAGTCATATTTACCCAAAACCTTTATTGAGGAAATGATTTTAATGATTCTTTACATTTTGTGGGTCTGGTCAATTTCATCCTATTTCGTTATCATTTAAATTCTATTGTTGTGGAAACCAGTGGGATCCTATTTCTTATACAGCTCTCCGTTTTTACAGTATTTCCTTGTTACTTGTTTTTTGCATGTTATTGTACGATTTTCCTGACGTCAGTGCCATATCTTCTGTTTGAAAATAACTTTTGTGATGCAAAAAAATTTGGGAGGAAATGGATCTCACACAATTATGTACTAATTCAGTACATTTCAAGCACCTATCAAACAGTTTCTTACTAATAAAGTTTATATAAGGGCAAGGAGCTTGCATAGACCATTTTTTTTGTCTGAACTCTATAGTTCGAAGCTCTCAGTGCTCTTTGAAACGATCGAGTTGTCTACAGAGTTGGCTACCAGACTACTCTATTTTATATAAGGCAATACAAAGTATTACAATTCTACTTGCTGGAAGCAATTGACTTTGATAAAGAGGAGGGGGGTGGGGAATCGATAAGATACAGATGGCATCCTAAGGTATCAACGAATCTCTAATTAGATATTCGGTTGTACAATATTTGCTAAGAGGGTAGTTCCTTTTCCACGAATCGAATTTAATGATGCATTCCATCGGATTGCACTAAGTATTAAGCGCTTACATATGTAAGCTGTGTTTGGTGGTGATATTCAGTCACTTTCCAATTGAACAATTTCCTTCTTTTTATTAAAGAAACAGAGTAAGCTTACTTGATACCTACTTACTTACTTTCTTAATATAGCTGAAATGTGATAACTGCAATCATTTGTAATTCACTTTTTACTAGTCTACTCAACTTGAAGTAAAGTAACCTTAATGTACCACTTCCGGTCCGAATGAGTTTGCGGTGTGTGTGCTTGCGGTTATGCATATTTAATGTTGCAGTTCCTTGTCTGTAGGGTGAGCCATTATGCACCTGTTGCGCTGCTCTCATAGAACTACCACTTCCGTACTGTCATTTCGGCTGAGCTTTAATACCTTCCCTCTCTCATGTCCGCACTTGTGTGTTTCCGGGTAAATAGAATTGGACAGGGAAAATAGGAAATAGAGAGCCGTGCGTGTATACTCTAGCATTTTTAACACGTGATTGGATGGAGTTTTAGTTTTAGCGTCTTACTCACTAATATTTCCGATTTTTGAATCACGAATTTGTATATATTCGAAGCTTTATTTGGGTGTCCGTGGGGAGTGGGGTGCCTTTTTTTAATTCTCCAAACATTAGCCGCGTATCATTCATTTTGGATACTCTTCTGGACACCCCATTTAATCTCGATATTTTATCGACCTTTTTTTCTTTTTACCTTTTTTTGAGAACCTCAACTGTTTCCCTTAAATGTGTGAATGCTCCTCTTCCTGCACGAAGCTTCCTTTTAGTTTTAGCGAAAACGGTAATCCATTTTTAACCTTGTTGGCATTTTACGTTCTCAATGGACTCCTATCATATATTGCTTGATTTGTACCAACTATGCTTTGCCCTTAGCTCCCAACTTTAGTGGCCTATAAGGGGAAATAAATTTTCAGCGATCAAGGTGGGTGTTTTCACGGTTTCGTCTAGACCTAGAGAAAAGCGTTAAATCTGGTCACATCAGACTTTCTTTTATAATAAAGAAAATAGTGTCATAATTTATTTGATCACCGTATGTTTTATTAAGTCAATTAAACCAAATTTACGATTTGAACGACTTGTCTTTAATTGGTCAGTGCGTCTTTATTCATAATAGCTCGGGTTTTAATGACCAGCTATGTAGAGGCTCGCGTGGAAATCGCAAATATTGGTCCTCTTGAATGATGTTTTGTATTTGATCTTTATGCTCTGTTCGATACAGTTGAGTACTGATTTGGATTTGCACTTTTCCTTGCGGCCTTTCTATTGCTCGTTAATTCATTTATTTAGTTGCAGTTTAGATTTGGTGACTTAGTCACAATTAATTTGTCTTATTTAGATCCTTCGACCGGCAGAAAAGAAAAAGCCATACACAACTCTGGGAGGAGGCAGTAGACCAATGACACCTCCACGAGGAACGAAGCCCAAGGGGAAATAAATATTCTCTTACTGCCTGTCTGCTTCTCTCCATCATTCTTCAACACAAGCAGTCGTCTGTCACTTAATCTCTCTCTTTTGTCTTCTGTCTTACTCCCCGCTTCCCTTTCTCCTATTTTGGAGAATGTTTAAGGCACAGCAATCGCGCAGACGTGTTCTGGGGGTGATTAGTTGATTGCCAGTCACGTTGAGTTGCTGTTTATCTATTTCTCCGGTTACGTTTTCTGTCGCCGCGACCTCTGCCTCTCTCAGCACTTTTGTACATGATTTTGTCTCTATCCGCACACACTCCTCTCTCCTCTATACACAGAATCTGTCTTTGCTCGTTCGTCGCTGTGTCATTCTTCCTAACTTCTTTTGCCTTAGTATATTTGTTGCGCATATGTAGCTTTCTCAGCTTCTCCCATTCCTGGACTTGCAATCCGACCCCATCCCTCCTCCACTCCCTGTGTTTCTCCTACAGTTCTCTCTCGTCTCCCCACCCTTTTCTCCCTTCCACTCCATCCCCCCCCCAACCCCCCCCCCCCCCCCNCCCTTCCCCCCCCCCCCCCCCCAAACCCCCCCCCCCCTACATCTCTATCTCGGTATCGCCAATCTTTCTTCATGATAAATCAAAATAAATGTGCATTATTCGATTGGCTTTATCTGCTTCCTTGACTCTTTAATTTAGTTCTAAAAATAATCAGATCTCTTGCTTTTATTATTACAGACAAATGAAAGGAGAGTAGGTATCTCATATTTCAAATGGATTTTACAATCTAAAAGTAAATGACGGCAAGAAAGTGACCTTAAGGAAACACTAAAGTGGTAGTTGAAAATGATTGGCTCATATGTGATTGGTCATTGAGCGGAGGTGGGAGAGGTACTCCTGTACTTGAAGCTGTAAATCGATAATGGAGCTCCGTTGAAGTGGGCAATGAGTCAACCTGATTGAAAGGTAGTATTGACGTAGTCACACACCTGCGAAATGTACAATTGACTTCCTTCAATATACATTATTCTTAGGAACTGCGTTCAATGGAATTTCAAAACGGTTGGCTTGGATTAATTTACTTCTAAAATGATCTCAAATCACCAGGGAATTATGTAGTAATTAAATTGCGCCATCTTTCCCGTTAACGCCATTCGCTATTTGGAATTCTCTGATTAGAGTTGAATTATTTTTCTTTTCTCTCTCTCGGTAAAAAATACATTCACGAATCAGTCAATGTTGAGATTAAGCAATACTATTAGCAAACCCATGAAATTGAAATGAGTTTTGGAACAAGAAACAATAAGTCAAAAAAATTAGCTCATTTAGTGTTTGGAGTTTGACGTTTGTTATTTATTTTACTAATTTCGGGTAGGATAATAGAGTCAATTTCTTAAAAATTCAATGTATCAAAAATACAAGTTGGTGGAAATTCCAATTAGACTTCCAAATTTACAAATGAATTAATTTAGAAAACGATTCCATATTAGGCGTTTTAGTTAAGGCTTATTTGTGCAGCATTCACTGCAAGAGAAGTGACAATAATATAAGTCGCTATTTATTTATTTATTTCAAATGGCAGGCGTTTTGATAGCTATCACTAGCCATTTGACCGACTTCGGGCTTCACAGAGGGAAGATTTATCAAAGTAGCAGAAAATCGAGGGGTGGGGAACAGAATAGCGATTCA